TCCGGATGTGCTGATCGGATCAGTAATATTATTTTTTTATTACACTCATATTGAAGTGAACTTTGTAATGATTACAATTTTTTTTTTGTTTTTGCAATTTTCTTAACAATAACAACCTTTAAATATTTACAAAGGTTTTACTCAGCCTTACCCCAACTTGAATCGATCCAAAAAAAACATATTTTTTCTTTTTTTCTCTGCAACAAAATTCTTTTTACAATTTTTTGGAGGCTTTGTTACGTCGAAAGATATTAAATATTTTCAAGTGCGAGCCGCGCTTTTCACGTCGGGGACCTCAAAGACTTGTACTCATTTGTCACTTTCGAATGACAATCTTATTGTTTTTGGGTTGAAAGATATTTTATAATTTCGTTTCTATCGAAAAATGAATATATAGCCGAAAAAAAAATTAGGGGAGAGCGGAACTTAAAAGTTCGTGGGTAAAAAGATCTACTGTCAATATTTCAAAAACAAGTAAAGTTCGAAATTTTTTAAGAACAATATTTAAAAGTAGAGGAATATTTAAGTTGGGTTCAACCTTTTCTGATATAATCTTTATTAAAGCTTACATGTGGGTGGGGTAAACAGAGTCAAGTACACCTTCATACTGGCCTAGGTATAAATAATAAGGAAATAGTAAATAAAAAATTAAATGAAGTTAGAAAAAAGTTATTTTACAATAGATATATAGTTTTGTTGGCACTATATACTTACTTTATAAATAATTAAAAAACACGATTTGATTTTGATCAATATTTAATCCGATGAGAAAATATGAACATTAAACTTTTATGATCAGAACAATATTTTAATGACAAATATAACAAAAGATGATCCCGTTTGCTATGATCACTTTTGGTTATATGTCAGGGGACGCCATAGATATATATAATCTTCTATATATATAAAAATAAGTCGGGTTTTCCTTCCTCACGAAATAACTCACGAACCGAAAGAAGGTTTTCCTTCCTGACGACGCACCGATTTCGACAATTTTGCATTCGTTGGAAATGTCTCGGGCTCCGCAAGGTTTATAGCTAAGAAAATTAGTGGTGCATGGCATCGTGCCTAAATGCAAATTGCTGGAACTTTACGCACCGTAATTAAAAATTCGAGTAATGACATTAGTGAGAATTATCAGAATTATGCTTGGTTAAGTCAACGAACAATTCTTGCTGCAAAGTATAATGATGTACACGCACTGAATTTCACCATTCAATCAAAAATTGCTGGCGATTTGGTTTGACTTCGAACGATTGCAATTTCCAGTTCGCCTTGCGTTCGCAATAACAAGTCGCAAGGCCAATCACTTAGTGTTTGCCGGATAAACTTCAAATAGATTATTTAGAAAATTATTGTTTTTCACATAGGCAGTTATACGTTGCCTGTTCACGAGTTGGAAAACCATCCGCTTTCTTTGTGTTAACGTCAGATCAAAAAACAAAAAATGTGGTTTACCAAAGATCACTTTCATGAAACGGATAATTTCCGGATTCACTTTTATTTACTTAGAAAAGTTCAACTAAAAACACTTCATTTTCGTAATCGAAATAAATTCATTACTGTTGTGCAATAAAATCAAATGTTTACTTTTCAAATATAAAACAAACAAAAAATTTTTTCATCTTTCTCACGAAACCATCTGGTGGCGAGTTCGTCGGGTTTACTAGTTATATATAAATTCATAGTTAACTCTGCTGATAAATATTTCTGACAAAGCATCAGATCAAAGGTATATTTGGTATTTTCTTTATAAAAATATACGAATTAAATTTTTATTTCACATTGGCTTTATAATTTAGCTATTATTACCTAAAATTCCATTAAAATTAAAAATAAGTCGATCCCTTTTTATCCAGGCTATGGAGTAAAGACGAAAATGACGAATTTAAAAAAAATCGCTGAAAAGCATTTTTTTATAATTAGAAAAATCTAACTGAACAATCCGTCTACATTCAAATATTGTTGTTAAAAATTTTCAACTTTACTTGTTTTTGAGATATTGGCAGTGAATCTTTTTACCCACGAACTTTTAAGCTTTGCTCTCCCCTAATTTTTTTCTACTATATATTCATTTTTCGCCAGAAACGAAATTATAAAATATCTTTCAACCGAAAAACAATAAGATTGTCATTCGAAAGTGACAAATGACTACAAGTCTTTGAGGTCCCCGACGTGAAAAGCGCGGCTCGCGCTTGAAAATATTTCATATCTTTCGATGTAACAAAGTCTCCAACAAATTGCAGAAAGAATTTGGTTGCAGAGAAAAAGAGAAAAAATATGTTTTTTTTGGATCGATTCCAGTTGGGGTAAGGCTGAGTAAAACCTTTGTAAATATTTAAGGGTTGTTATTGTTAAGAAAATTGCAAAAACAAAAAAAAAAATTTTAACCATTACAAAGTTCACTTCAATATGAGTGTAATAAAAAAAATAATATACTGATCCGATCAGCACATCCGGAGATAATGAATTTACCGCAGATGATGTTCATAGAAATTGAGCAAAAAATCCATATTTCAAACGAAAATATTTACGTAAAAAATTTTTTTTCAGCAAAATCTTGAAATACGTGTCAATTTATTTTATGTATAATATACGTAAAAAAAATTTCAGACAATTCTAAAATGTGACATTTTATTTTTTCGAAAATCCGTACGATTTGTAAAAGAATGACCCATATGCAAAATTCTTGGAATCTTTAAAAATGAAAATTAAGCGAATACATATAAAAAACAAGAAATAATTTGTTTTTAGTTTTTTTTATATTATTCATTTTGAAAATGAATTGTAGTCAACTTCATTCTTTTTCACTATTTTATATTAAGTATATTTTCAAGCTGTTAGTTTCGTATATAATTTTATCTTGGTTGTGGTAAACTTGACAATATATATCTTGTAGTGGACAATAAATATAATAAGCTGTTCAACCAAAAATATTTTGAATTAATTTACTTTCACAATACGGCAGTGGTTTCCAACTTTTTTTTGCGGAAATAGTAGTTTGGAAACAATTGTACGCCTTCTTACAACAACTTTGCGCCCCATAGGTTGGAAACCACGGCAATACGGTGTTGCTCAAGAAATTTTGTTTGTAGCCGTTTTCACTCACACTGACGTTAAATCTGTCGAAAAACTGTGAATTAATATTTTCTTTGCTCATAACACTATATGTGCTTTTTTATGTGTGGTTTATTAACAATATACATTGGATTTTAATTCACAGTTCTCGAGTGAACATATATCGCTAGTCGCAAGTCGCAAGTCGCAAGTTTTGTCCATTGTCTGAAACAGCTTTGGAAATGCAGCAAGGTACCAATGGCTTGCAGTTGAATGGGGCTAGTTCATTCGCCCCAGAAGAGAATGGCAATGGATTCACAGCTGATATCGGTGCACCAAAAGAAGTCCCTCGTATACCTATGAATAAAGTCAACCAGGATATTGTTCGCATAATTGGACAACATCTCAGATCAGTTGGACTTCAACATAGTGCAGATGTGTTGATGCAAGAATCAGGATGTCGCATAGAACATCCTGTTGCATCGATGCTTAGACAACATGTCATGCAAGGAGATTGGTCTGAAGCTGATCATGACTTGAAGGAACTGCAAACATTATTGGAAAATGAACCGGAAGCAAGACATAATTTAGTCGCAATAAAGTTTTTGTTATTAGAACAAAAATATTTGGAATGCTTGGAAGATGAACGTCCATTAGATGCGTTACATGTATTGCGAAATGAAATCACTCCACTAAATTATAATACACCTCGAGTTCATCAGCTCTCTTCTTATATGATGTGTGCTGATTCAGCTGAATTATATCATAGAGCTTCTTGGGAAGGTAAAGGCAGTACATCACGCACCCACCTTATGGAACGTCTACAGGCATTTTTACCTCCTACTATTATGCTTCCACCACGGAGGTTACAAACCCTTTTGTCTCAAGCAATTGACATGCAAGCAAAACGCTGTAATTACCATAATACATCTAGCACATTGAATACCGTATCATTACTAATTGACCATGTATGTCCCACAAATAATTTTCCAATGCATCATGTCCAAACAATTAAAGACCATTGTGATGAGGTATGGTTCTGCAAATTTTCTCCAGACGGTTTGAAATTAGCCACTGGCTCCAAAGATACAACGGTTATGATATGGAATGTCGATCCCATTCGTTATCAATTAACACACAGAAGTACATTGGAGGGCCATTCTTATGGTGTTTCATTGCTATCCTGGAGTCCTGATTCAAAATATTTGATAGCAGTGGGCCCAGAACACTGTCCTGAATTATGGCTTTGGGATATGGAAACTGATGAGCTTCGAGTTAAAATGATTCATTCAAATATTGACAGTCTAACATCAGCTGCATGGCATAAAGATAGTACAAAATTTGTGACTGGTGGCATCCGTGGTCAATTTTATGAATGTGACTTAGATGGTGGTCTAGTTGGTTATTGGGAAGGTATAAGAATTAATGCCCTAGCTTGTCGATCTGATGGTAAAACAGTTCTAGCCGCCGATACACACAGAAAAGTACGTTCTTATGTATTTGAAAAATTTGTTGATTCTAATATTATACAAGAGGAACACCCTATAATGGCAATTACAATAGATCCTACCGATCGATTGGCATTGCTAAATGTTGCCACTCAAGGTGTACATCTTTGGGATTTAGAAGATAAATGTTTGATTAGAAAATTCCATGGCTTAATACAAGGTCATTTTACAATTCACTCATGTTTCGGTGGCGTTAATAATGACTTTGTAGCCAGTGGCAGTGAAGATAACAACGTATATATATGGCATATAAATCGGGCAGCACCAATAGCAACATTGACCGGACATTCAAGAAGTGTTAATTGTGTTACATGGAACCCCGTATATCCTAATATGTTAGTTTCTGCTTCAGATGATTTCACAGTTCGTTTATGGGGACCTAAACCAGTATATAATAACCCTACAGATACTAGCGACAATGGCTGGAACTCTTAGAAGGGCCTATATGCGAATGTTGTTGATTTAAGACTAATCGCCTGTGACGGAAGATATATCTAGACTCATTTAAAAATAACAATAAATTAAGAGAATTAGCCTGAGAATGGACATGCTGCATGTGATATGAATATTTCTGTACCAGACTGATAAATAAACTTAAGTAGTATAATATGTACTCACTGTGTATTATATGTATGTGTGCACAGAATATAATTGGATCATATACATTTTTGCGTTTTTTTTTTATAAATATAATGAGAGAGTAGTAAGAAACAATTATAAAGATTTCAGTACTTCGTTTGAAGGCATTGTAATGGTGACTATAAGTAAACACATGCCATGATATATTATATTATTCATTTAATTTTATATATGTGCATGTCACAAAAGTCAAATTTTAATTTTTGACTTAACGAAATTTTGAAATTTTGTAAATTTACCTTTTGTAATTTGGTTTCAGTTATAGAATTCCATAAATATATTGAAATTTTCTTTTCATTATTATTATAAGATTAAGTTGTGAAACCAGTGTCAAATATTATTATAAATGTTACAAACGTCGGTGTGAAGCATCTAAGTTTTTAAATGTGCCTCTAAACACCAACTTATTAACATCAACTTTATCCCAGTTCAAAATAAACTTTTAGTGCTATATTGGTTTTAATAATTTTTTACATTGACGGCGTTGTTTCTTTTATTTGTCGGTAGAAACAAATTTCTACTAAAAAAATAAATTCTCAAAATTGATTTTTTATATAAACACAGTAGAAATACAAAATTTGGAATAAATATTTATTTTGGCATCATTTTATAAACCATTGGAATTTAGCACACTGGGCAGCATGTGTTTTTTTTTTATTTATATATACGAGGTCTGTTCAAAAAGTTTTCGTAATTTTCGTTTTTTCAAAAAAATATTTATTTATTCGTCTACATTAATGTGGTCCCCTTCAAAGTAGTCCCCCCCAGATATAATACACTTATGCCAGCGTTTTTTCCAATTTTCGAAGCACCCTTGATATTCACTTTTTGATATGTCCTTGAGCACTCTCGGCGATTTTCTTCAATCGAGGAAAACCGCCGTCCTTTCATGGGTCTCTTCAACTTTGGGAATAGGAAAAAGTCACACGGAGCCATATCTGGTGAATTTTTGCACTTTGCAACACTTTATTTCATTTTTTACGCAAAATTTAATACAAATTCTTTGACTTTTTCAATTCTTCCATTGTAAAAATCGCCGAGCTCAGAAAAACACGTCGAACCTTAGCGACTACCACAGACAAAGTAAACAGTCAATATAGCTGAAAATTTCATCATACTTTAGGGGCATGTATACCAACACAATAAAAAAAAAATTTTGACAATCAGACACTCCAGACCCGCGAAATTTAATTATTAGTAATTCCGGGTACTTTTTGAACAGACCATGTATACATTATTTTCATATCTCAGGCAGACAGAGGTGCCTGGTATTAGAGATTATGAAATCAGATTTCATATTTTATATATACATTTCATTTGACAATTTCATTAATATAATATCTATTATAATTAAAATATCTTTATATAACTCTTTAGTCTTCTTCGTCTTCAATTTCCTTATAATATTTCTTTATTTTTCTTTTAAATTTATCGTCATCATTGGTCATCTTAATATTGCTTGGCAATTCATTATATATTTTACTAGCGCTCCATATGACATTTTCTCTCAATTTCTTCTTTCTATTGTGTTCAATGTGAAAATTGTTGTGTTGTCTAGTGTAGTGTTCATGTATATCTTGATTTGTGTCTATTGCTGTACTTGTTTTTGTTTTTTGCAATTATAAATAAATAAATTTATTCCAAATTTTATATGTCTACTGTGTTTATATAAAAAATCAATTATTTGTTGTAAGAAATTTGTTCCTATAACAAATAAAAAAAATAACGTCATCAATGTAGAAAATTATTAAACCTATTAGAACACTGGAAGTTTATTTTGAACTGCTGATTGAAAGCTTGCTTGCTGATGAAGATAGGTCACAATAAGGACTTTATTATCACAATGTTGCAACTATCATTCAAAAATAATATTTGCATTTTAACATTATTTTATATGTATACATTTAACTTTATAATAAATATTTTTGCATTCAAAATTTCTTAAGAATCGTTACGAACTGCATACAGTTGCAGGTTACGGCGCGGTGGAGACACGTGGGCAACAGGTTGGAGAGGGCCACCTGTATAACTCTAAGACCAGTGACATTTTTTCTGTCTTTTATTAATAATCATCAGAGCACAAATAAATTCTATAAATTATTGTGATTTACATTATTTACATATAATTATATATAGTATTTACCCCAGTGGATTATTACTATTAGATACAAATCATTTGATCAAGTTAATAAGCCATAATTTTTTAAGTCTTCTAAATTCTGGCACAAGAAGCAGCGGAGCAACAAGTAGATTGGAATGGCTTTCTAATTTGTGATGGTGATTTGTCGATCTTGTTTTCAAAAGGTCTTCAATGTATAGCGCATTAAGATAAGCATGGAGAGTTTTATTGCTCACGTACCATGGTTTGCTTGTCATCATTTAAAGTATTTTGGATGGATTTCTTTGTACCAATGCTACATTTGACTTACTAGAGCATCCCCAAAGCCTTATCCCGTATGACCATTATAGTTTTATAAGCCAGTGTTTTATTTTCAAGTGATAGTTTTGAGTTATCAGCAGTTCCCTCACTCTGGATTTGATAGATTTAATTTTTGTTGTGATGTAATGTTTCCACGTGAGTCGTCGATCAATGTGTACTCCAAGATATTTCACTACATTTAATGTTGGAATTGACATGTTAATTAAGTGAACTACAAGGCTTGCTTGTTTATTCAAAGTAAAAGTATTATGCAGTGATTTGCATTCATTAATGTTGATGCGCCATTTATTTGTTCATTCATGAATTATTTTAAGATGTTGTTGTAACTTATTAGAAGCTATGTGTGGGCATTTTCCACAGGATATAATAGAAATGTCATCAGCAAACGTAGCAGTAGTAGTAATTAGAGTCGTCGGGAAATCCGAGGCATATAAACTATACAAAAATGGGCCCAGTACATTACCTTGTGACACCCCTGATTTAATTGGTAGTGTTTCGTAATTGTGTTGATTTACTCGAGTCATAAATTTCTTATTATTTAAGTATAGTGTCAGAATTTGATAATATTTGGGAGGAAGAAGCATGGAGATTTTGCAATAAGGCCTTCGTGCCACACTTTGTCAGCAGAGCAATATTGCTTTGATTCAAAAGTTTTTTTGATTTGGTTGACTATTCAGTGGCATTGTTGAGTGGTCGAATGTTGCTTTCTAAAGCCAAACTGATGACTAGGAAATAAGTCGGATGCAAGCACTATATCTTGAAGCAACAGTCTTTCGAGAATTTTTGGTGATGTAGGAAGTAGACTGATATGATGTCACCAAGCTGGGATCTTTGCCATTTTTTGGTCACATCTTTATAATGGACATTTTGTATTGATTTGGTCAGTATTTTATTTTTATAATAGCGTTAAAGATGTAAGTGATAAGAATTATTCCTTTTTTTGGCAGTTTCTTAAGCATCTTGGGAGTAATTAAATCGCACCCTGGAGACTTTCTTGATCTCATTTGATATACTTTTGAGCGTGAAAAAACTTGTTTCCACATTCTGAGTAGTCGATGTTCAAATTAAAAACAGAATCTTCAGTGTTATGATCAGGATCGTTTGATTGAAATACAGGGGTCAAGTGAAGTCCAAAAAGGTAGCATTTTTTTTATCACCCTTAGCCCAATCTGATTGATAGTCAAGCCCCAATGAAGGGTTTTTAATACAAGGCTTAAGTTTATTCCTAATCGGCTTCCAAATTGAGTTGTCATATCGATAAGATTAGACACGTAATTTTAAAGTTGTTGTCGTTTGATTTTCTTAATTTGGCCTCTAATTTATTAATTAAATTATTAAGAATATATTTGCCAGATGGTAAATGAGTGTGTTGCCACCTATGCCTAACTTTTCTTCTTGATGAAATCAATTTTTTAATTTCTGTAGTTACGGGTTGACTGAATATCCTCATAGTGGTGGGTGTTGCGAATTTTGCATCGTCCTGTTAAACCATATTATAAGAGTTACGATTTCGATGTGGTTTCTCTAGTGAAACCAATTTGTCTTGCAGTTATGTAAACTTGTAGACTCTGATTTGAGTACAAAACTTGAACAGAAACCTGCAATTATTGGTGAATGTTCTGAAGGAAGATCATAGTTTGTCGAATAGTTTAGGCCATTTATAATGAAAAAACCAGCAAGTCGGGTTGTTTTGTACAATCGCTTGGCCAATATGTAGGAGTGCCAGTGGAGATAACTTCATAATTGTAGCGGCAAAAACAGTTGTATAGTTGCCTGCCCTTTGGATTTATCAAACGGAAACCCCAGGTAGAGTGTTTACTATTGAAGTTTCCTCCAACAATAAACCTGACCGTCCAATGATTTAAAAAAATCTTCAAATTGATGACTGAAAATACTGTGCCGAAGAGGAACAATGCTAATACATTGATATTGTGAGTGTGTAGTTCAACAATTACTGTTGTTGCCTATAGAAAATCTGTTTCGTATTTGACTGATCCATAGTGACAAATACTGTTTTTAATTACGATTGCAGTACCCTCCTGTGGTCTTCTACTAGAATGAGGATGTGCAGTAAAATAAAATTTGTTACCAGGAAAATAAATATTAAAATAAATAGTTCAATGTGCCTCACTCACTAGTAAGACGTCAATATTATTGAGTTTTAAAAATATGTTGACTTCATGTTTGTGTTGTAATAGTCAATTTGAATCACACAAACCTATGTTTACAATGCTAGCCATTACTTACTTTTATTAACTAACGTTGAAAGCGTGTTTATTATGATTGTGTTCTGTTGCCAGGGGCGTAACTACCGCCGTATCAGCCGTATCAATGATACGGGGCCCCCGGGCCCAGG